CAAACTGCTACAGTAGGCGTATCCTACAAATGAGGCTGACTTAGTCTATTTGAACTAATCTTTCTCTAATGTGCATTAAAGTAGCTAACAAACTTAGTCGTTAACGTCTTCTTATCTTCTTGATCTATTCTGTTGTTGGAATTAGTTTCTTGGTGAGAATTTTCCTTGTATGGAACACGTCCTGAAGATCATCTCAGATCATGTGGAGTGAAGAAGTGTTTCTTAATTTTGAGCTCTTTGCAAAGGCTTGTGATCGTCATGTTGTCAAATTGTCTGTTATTATCAAAGATCAAAGAGTGGAGAATGACAGCAAACTGGCAAATGGTGTTTTTCTAGATAAATTTGGAGGTATTAGCTTCAATGATATTCATCACGAACTTAACTTTAGTCCACTTAGTAAAATAATCAATAGCAACAATGGCATGACATACATTGCCTCTTCCTCTTAGGAGAGGCCTAATAAAGTTTATTCTCTATTTGGTAAATGGTCAAGAGTTGGTAATCATTGTGAGCTCTTGAGGTGGATGACTGGGGATTGTGGCAAAGTTTTGGAACTTGTATCACCGTTTGATCCTTGAGTTATGTAATGATTGGCTTCATCCATTTGTGAACCCTTTTTACCCATGTAAGCTCTTTTTCGCCTTAATTGAAGGCTTACTTATTATTAGATGGTTGCATTGGTGGTGGTTTTATGATGGTTTGTTACGGTGGCATTTGTTTTCTTGGTAGTGGTGGTGGTGGTATTGATGATGTTAATGCTGGTGATGGTGCAATGTGGTGGTTTAGGTTTTGAAGGTGATGGTGGCAATGACATCAATGGTTACGTGTGGGTTAATAAGTTGGGTTATACCACTTGTACATCAAGGGTTACATCCTCCTCACATGGGGGTGGGACCCACTAAAATAATATTTTTTATTCTAGTGGACCCCACCCCCCATGTAAAGGGAGTGTAACCCTCGATGTAATATTGATGTACCACTAGCATGGTCCAAATAAGTTACAATAAAAAAATTACACACTATAATAACAATATTTGTAATTTTCTTGTATTATAATAGATGATTGTTGATGGTGGTAGGGTAGCGGTGTTGGTGTCGATTGTGGTTAAAAATTTTAAATTACTATTTTAAAAAAATCACATACGTTGTAAACAACAATAACACGTTGTGACAACAATGTATGTTATTTTCTTGATGGTATAACTGTTGGTGATGGAGGGTGGGAGTATAACAATTTTAAGTTCCAGTTTTAAATAAATTATTTACAATGTAACGACAATAAGTCTATGTTTGACAACAATTATTTCAAAACTCTTTATTCTTCATACTCTTTTTCAACCACTCATACACACAATATAATATTTTGCATATAAACTCAAAAAATTTCTTTACTTTTAACGACACATTCTCCAAAAATTCATTATTCAAAACTTTGTTTTTATCAAATAATGGCCATCAATCAGGGGCTAAAATATATTGTAAATTACAATCTCAAAAAAAAAAAAAAACTAGAATAAAACTTATTAAATATAAGGTTTCTCAAAATTTGCTGTAAAAAATTATATATTCTAACAAAAAAATTTTAATAGATTGAAAGTCATACCTAATTTTTGAAACGGTTGTGCTACATGTACATCACCACTTACAGATTGATTTACATATACATGATGTGATGAGATATGATTTTATCAAAATTTCTTCAACAAAAAAATAAAAATAAAAACTCACCACTCTTTTCTTAACACCTCATCTATCTGTAAAACTTTATATAAATCTTTACGTACAAGTAGAATTAGTCTTTTTGAAATATCTTTTCATTCACCTAATTTTTGAAATTTGATCTCCAAGTGTTCCATGGTCGTGCAACTAACACGTAAAGAATGATCTAATGAGCACCGGTGCTCATTTAATACTATGCACCGATGATATGTCATATTATTTCGTTAGTAGATAGTAAATTTAATGCAAATCTTGAGATCCGTCAAGACTTTATCTACCAATAAATTAATATAACGTGTCATCGGTACTTAATATAAGATGAGTATCGATACTCATTAAATCATTCCTCGTTAACCCATATTTGTAATTGGAATATGATGTAAAATAAGTCATTTCCAACTAAAATCAATCAATCAATCAATCCACTCTTTAGTCTTGGCTAAATTATTAATAGTTAAATTTTTATCCAAGTATTAAAAAATGTAATCACCTCCAGTTTGAGAGTCATGGATATTTATTTGTGATGTAGGTTTCCAAATATTTAGGAACTTGTACCCTTTTTGACAATAAAAAATAAAATTATGATCATAATGTCCCTGTTTAGTGGAAATTAATATTAGATTTTTAATAATTTTTTATAAAAGCTGATGAATCGTATTATTGAAAAGTTATGAATCTTATAAAACGTATGATTAAAATTAATTGCTTAAAATGTGGTGTCGAAAAGTTGTGAATCTTATAAAACGTATGAATCTTATAAAACGTATGATTAAAATTAGTTGCTTAAAATTGAATAACTTTTGAGTATTGGAAAATGTGTTCTTAAAATTAATGTTTGACTGTGAAAATTAACTTTTTAGTAAAAAATGGAAAAAAAAAAAGAACGGATTTCTAATTTCTCGAGATAATGATATATATTTAGCATGTAGCATTGAACAAAATTTAAAAATATTACAGACAAGATTTTAATTGATATTTCCTTTTTAACATTTCCCAGTAGTGCTTAATCTGTTATAAGCTCATCCACATCGAGCCAATCAAGAATTGTTATATTCTTAGAGATTGCATCGTCTTTATTTGATAGAGAACTTTTAAACTCCTGTTTGTTTCTCATTTTCTCTTCATTTTTAGATAAAATACTATCGTTGCAGGGCCTCACTTTACTGGAATTGTTGACTTCCATCTCACATTGTTCTTGAAGTTGATGCTCCAACTATCACAAAATTCATTTTCTACAGCTAAAAAATGGACAGCAAACAGATGTTAAAATTTATTTTCAATCACAAATTTTTTAAATAATTTTGGACGTGAACTCGTAATTTTTTACAAAATTTATTCTCAAAAAATCTATATCAGAAGAGCTCTACATATGCCATATTAATAATGAGAAAGACTCTTTTATCATGCTATTAAATATTAATATTTTATTTATGCTAAAGCCTCCATAGGTAAGTTAAAGAAAAATTAATTATTTGTTTCCTTTCCATTAACTAGGTTCCAAATTATCAATATGTAATCACATTCAAATCAATGAATCATTTTACTGCTATCTCTAATAAATAATCACTCTAAGTTCATAATTGAACTCTAATGCATTCAATGGATTGTTAGTCTAAATGTCATCTATATTTCTTAAACTTAAAAGCAAAATCACATTTAAATGTCGACATGAATATAAATTTGAAAAGGAAATATATGTTATGTTAAGTTACTCCTCTAATATAATTCTTAAATTAGATGGAGTTCTAGACATTGTCTATTTTTCTCTGAAACGACAATTTTTACAGAGTCCTAATCAACTCACATTGAAAAAGTGAACGCTATCTATTTTGTTATTGTACTTTTGTTTGATCTCCACTATTTTCAAAATACATTTTTCTCTGTTCTTTTTAAACACATATTTTTCAATAAAATAATATTACACGCAGAATCAAAAATTTTCCTTATTTTTTAACTACAAATTCTTCATCAATATATTATTCCAAAATGCATTCTTATTTAAAATGGAACTCAAACAGGCGCACAAATAATTTTTTTAATAATCTATTAATGTATTGGAGATGGTCTAACTCTTTCAAATTTTATTACTAATACTTACTCTCTCCGCTCCATAAAGAAAGTCCTGTTTTTCTTTTTGGTATGTGCCAAATTATAGTCTTATTTCTTATTTGAGAGTGTAGTTAATATATTAGTTTCCTAATATATCCATGTTTAGCCCCCGTTTGGTGCACATTTTGAAAGTAGGAATGCATTTTTACTGTTAATGTGATGGAGAATATGTGGTTGAAAAAGAAGGAAAAGTTATTGATGTGATAAAAAATATTATTTTATTGAAAAATGTGTGATTAAAAATGAGTAGAATAATGAGAATAAAAAAAATAATGTGGACCAAACAAGGCTTTAATGTGTTTTGTTATTACAAATACAAATCACTTCATTATTCAATTGTAGTTGGAACAATAAATAAAAAAAAAAAAAATCATTTCATCAATAATCAATTTATTACTTCAATTATATTAAGCCCCATATTTGGTTCAGATTAAAATCTGATTTTAATTCAAGTCAAAGTCAAACAATCAATATAAACCACGTCTTTCATGGGTCTTACAACTTTTCAACCACACATTTCAAAAACTTCTATAAAAATTTACTAAAAATCTAATTTTAATCTCCCACCTAACACCATCTAACTAAATTTTTTATAACTATATGAAAAAGGAAATAAGACTATAGGGAGAAATATTTGTCTCACTTTGACCTAAGATTCATGGTTAGTTAATCAATCAATCAAAAAGCATATAAAGTTGTTTGTCCGTAATCAATCAACCGAAAAGCAACGAAATTAACGGAATCATCACAGCTGGAAAGGAAAGGAAACGGCGTCAAATTTCCAGCTGGCAAACGGCAGTATCGTTATTCAACATAAACAGCGTGTTATTTTAGTAAATTGATTCGCTTTCTAGCATGTTCGCCAAAGTCTCTTCTCCATTATTTCATAGTTGAAATTCAAGGTCTTTCTCTCAATACTGATTTTCAGTGGAAGGGTATACAGTATACTATGAGAAGAAGAAGAAACTACAGCCCACAAGAGTAAAATTTCAAGCATGTTTTCTTGTTTTGCGCCTCCTTTTTCCTTCAATTTACCGGTCTTTTACCCTTCCCCAATTCGTTGTTTGATCGGCGCTAATCATACTTCTGCTCGCTTCTGCTCACGATAATTAAACAGAGGAATACATTCGGAAAATTTTGAGAATTAGAGGGTTATTTTTTGGGTTTATATGATGCAGCTGAGGATTTTTTGCGTAAGATTATTTTTGTTCTGTTTATTTATAATTGCTCTCCGATTTGCATACATTGTGACCCTCCGAGTGGAATTATGTGACCACGGAGACTTTTGTTTCTTTTCGTTGCCGGAAAATATCGATGTTGTTAAGGACATCGGGAAACTGGTCAAACCCTCCTCGGCGATTACCTCCACCAATGGAATGTCGGCGCCGGCGATGCCCAAGAAGCTGCCGGAACTCTGGGCCATCGAGGGTTTCCAGAAGGTCGTTCGTTTCTATTCCTCGATATTCCAAGGTCTGATTTATGAGGGCTTCTTGAGCCCAAGTTATAAGGTCCTTTGCGTCGAAACACAGACGGGTGCTGACGTTTTCGCGTTGAAAGAGATTGGGGTGGAGGATTCGATAGGGATTTTCAAGAAAGCATTCAAGCCTCTGGTAATTTCGGGGCAGGGTTTTAAGCAACCCTTCAAGAATAGTACTTTTGATTTTGTGTTTTCCGGTGGTGGTATGATTGAGAAGTCTGCGAAGTTGGCAGATTTTGCCATTGAAATTTCCCGGACCCTGAAACACGAAGGGTTTCTCGTGGTCCATACGGGCACGAAAGATGAGTACAGTCTCAATTCATTTCTTGATTTGTTTCCCTTTTGTAAATTGGAAAAAACTAGGGACATAGATGGGATTGATTCCCAAATGCCATTTATTCGTGAAATTGTCATGAAAAAAGTGAGTGGATATGGAAATATCAAACAGTTTTTTGACTATGGGATGGAAAACCTCGGCGTTGATTTTGTGACTAAATGCTCAGTTCCGGGGTATAAACAAGAATTGATCCATAAAGCAGAGCCTCTAATAGAGGAAGAACCAAAGAAGCCTTGGATTACTTTTAAGAAGAATATAAAGAATGTAAAGTACTTGCCTTCAATGGCTGATATAAGTTTTAAACAGAGGTATGTGTATGTTGATGTTGGAGCTAGAAGCTATGGATCGAGCATTGTTAGTTGGTTTAAGAAGCAATATCCAAAGCAAAACAAGACTTTTGAAATATATGCAATTGAGGCTGATAAGACATTTTATGATGACTATAAGTACAAGAAAGGGGTCACATTGTTGCCCTACGCAGCATGGGTGAGGAATGAGACCCTGTTTTTCGAGATTAATAATCAAGACCCCAGTCATAAAAATGTGAAGAAAGGTAGAGGGATGGGGAGGATTCAACCAGTTCAGTCTTCAGGCGGTTCTAGTTCTTCTGCGTACGTGGATGAGATTCAGGGATTTGATTTTGCTGAATGGTTGAAGAATTCAGTGTCGGAGAGGGACTATGTGGTTATGAAGATGGATGTAGAAGGGACTGAATTTGATTTGATTCCCAGGTTGTTTGAAACTGGAGCAATATGCTTGATTGATGAAATCTTTCTGGAATGCCACTACAATAGGTGGCAGAAATGTTGCCCGGGGGAGAGAACTGCTAAGTACCAGAGAACATATGGGCAATGCTTGGATCTGTTTTCTTCTCTAAGAGATAGCGGAGTTCTAGTGCATCAATGGTGGTGACTGGTAATAGCTATATAGTAATTCTGTTCCATTTGTTGTTTTGAAAGTTCTTTTCCTTTGCTCTCAAATCAAAATGTTGTAACTTTTTGTACCATCATTCATTTAATGCGAATTCCATATGTATTTAGGAACGAAGTCATAGTTGAATTTTATCAGTTATTCTGCAGCTTAAAAATTGTTTTGGTTTTGGAGAATTCGAGATTTGTTGAACTTTTAGGAATAGATTATGGAACTTTTCTAAACTCTTTCGTATATATTCAACTTTTCTCTGCTTTTGTGGACACCTCAAATTCTTCTTGAAAAAAAAATCTTTATGGTCATTGAAAAATATCTTGTGCATATTAATCATGGACCCTTGCGAATTGGAATACAGTAAAACACGACGTAAACCTTAACTGTTTTGCTTGTAAAGTATGTTGAAATTATATAACCCCTGCTGTCACATGTTAGACTTCAAGGAATGGCCTTATCATTCTTCTTTTTTTCATAAATGAAAGAAATTTTATAAATTAAGGAGAAATGCCAAAAAAAGCAAGAGATGCAGTCAGCCACATTAGCTGCTTCAGCAGAAGAAGCTTCAAGTCATTCAACGCAAAAAGGGTTTGCTCCTCTTCCTTGACAACGTCTCTCTAGTTTATGTCAGCTTCTCTATGTTTAGTGGTGGCAAAAAAACTCGCCGGCTCGGACAGCTCAGGCTCGGCCAGGAAAAAGCCCGAGCCGGGCTGGGCTCGGGCTTGGTGGAACCGAGCCTAGGCTCGGGCCTACCCCCCTTTGGGCCGGCCCGTGATTAATTAAAAATAATAATAATAATAAAATTTTTTTAAAGCTAAAATAACTGAAAAAAATTAAAAAAAAAAAACCCAAGCCAGCTTGGGCCAAAGCTCGGGCTGAGCCTTATTTTTTTGGCTGGGCTCAGCTCGGGCTGAAAAAAGTTCGGCCAAAGAAGCTCGAGCCGAGCCCGAGCTTTTTTTTTTTCTGGCTCTGGCTCGGGCTCGGGCTCGGCTCGTTGACATAGCTATCTATGTTACCAGTTGTCTTATTATTGAATTTGCTTCACTAATGGGATCACAATTCGAGTTTGATAGTTGTGTATTAGTACCAAGATCGAGACCTAGACAAGTGGATCTAAATTTAATAGCCAGAACTGTTTTATGCTAAGAACTAAGTCGTGACTCTATATTGAATATCCTGAAGAAAGTACATCGGAAAATGTTTACAAGTCCAAAGTACTGCTTGTGCCAAAATATAAAGATTAAATAGAAGGGAACCTTTATAATTTATATTATCATTTGACTGATCTGCATAATCCAGGTTCCATTTATTGTATATTAATTCTTTCTTTACTTTTCTCGTCAAATTCATATTTTGCCTTTCTCTGAAATGCTAGAGCCTAGAAGTTAGGGAATCCTGTTAAACAGCCTCCTGTTGTCAAAATTTCACAGGAATAAAGTTTCCTTTCTCTTATTGTTTAAATTTAGTTCTTCCTTTTTAGCTTAAGCAATCTGTTTTTACTTGCTGTTGAGCTTTTGACTCATTGTAATCAATTTTCTGGCAGCTTCTTAGGGATGGAGATTGAAATAATTCAGGTGCTGATTTTTGATGAATTGTGTAAATTTCCTGACTTTTGCATTTTATTAATTTAATTCGGACATGCATGTTTGTAAACTTTGCATTACTCTCGCCTCCAATGTCACTTCAATTCTTGTTGAAATAGAAAAACCTTATTTTATGGTCATTGTAAAATATTGAAACGCATGCTTGGTGTACGTAGATTGAAATATTATGCGCTATTATGTGTTGCAATATTATAGATTAGCCACTTTTCTGGCACATGTCAAATTAGCCACTTTTCTGTCACATGTCAAATTCCCATAAAAGCTCTTGATGAGTAACTTGACTGTGATCTTGCGAAAGACCTTTGATCCTTTGATTTCTGCATAACAACAATTGTTGGAAATTGATGCATTTTTCCCTTTTTGCTGATTTTTATTTCATTGAATTTGCCGAAAATGCAAGAAATTCTTGAAGTTGTTTTGGCAGTTTGTTGCATTTCCTCTTGGTTTTTAAAGCTGCAGGTGTATGAATAGCAGATCACTAAGCTGAGAAAAAGCAGTCTGCTTCATAGCAGTCCAAAGTTATATTCTCCATGTTAAAATACTGCTTGTAGTGCTCATTTTGATTTTTGTATTTGTGGCAAATGAAGTCTTGAACATACGTTTGCATAAAATGAACTGTACATTGCTGTATATTATGTTACATCTTTATTGTTAATCCAGCTGACAGTTTTCTTCCCCAAACATATTTTTCACTCAATGGACAAGGTAATCCCCGGTTTATGGATTTGCTTCAGTAACTTTTTTTTGGATAACTTCAGTTAAGTATTGAACTTTAAGAAACTTTATAGTGATGCTTATCGAACATAGAGTTAACTGATGCATTTGTAAGATGCTAATATGATACATGGGTATAGAAAACTTTATAGCAGTTCATCCCGAAGTTTTCAACACCCTGTTTAGCACGGTATTTACCTACTTACCTGTTCCCTTACCTACAAGTCTTGCATCATTGCTCCGGTTTGCTTTTGCATTTATTAGTTTTCAATGGTGCCTTGCACTGTACGATAATGCTAAATGTAAGATTCAGTTACTGGCATCTACCTCTACCTATGGCTGAAGAATGAAACTTTAGCTTGTTAATTTCTTGTTCAGTTGTTAAGTGGAGCTGCAGCTTGTCTTTGATTAAGGTATTGTACAAGTTGGGAATTGTTTTGGTGTTATTTTAAGTGATTATGTTCCTCTACTGCAGACAAACCATTATAAATAAATATGTAGTCATTGTGGTGTGCAAGAAACCAATTCTTTTTTTCTTTTTTTTGACATTTTATTTTATTTCTTTTTTCTATCAAACCATTATAAATAAATATGTAGTCATTGTGGTGTGCAAGAAACCAATTATTTTTCTTTTGACATTTTATTTTATGTCATTTTTCTATATGAGATTCCAAAACACTTAAAATATTAGGTTGATCAATTAACAAAGAAAATGGGTTCACAAATTCACAACGAAAGTAACATTTGGAAGTGGATTTGCCAAACATATAATCTAGCTATCGTAACTAATGGNCCCCCCCCCCCCCCCCCTCCCAACCCACTCTCATAGTTCATGCCGGGTTTTGTCTTGTCAAGCTTGGCATGACCTAAAAATCGACACGGTCCAGTTCCTGTCTACTGCGTTTGCAAAGGACGAAGGTGCATCGGGTCGTGCCATTAGACATTTCCCACTCGAAACACCAACCAACATACACGAGATATATGGATAATAGAAAAACAAAAAGACAATAAATGCGCTTAGAGTAACAAGTAACAACCATAAATAGAAGAAATAAACACGTTCCTGGTCCGTGGCTCTCTCTGCATGTAAATTCAAAAGAAAGGGCCAAAAGAATTACCCAAAAATAGGCAAAAAAGAGAGAGACAATAGAAAGGAGAGATAAAAAGGATTGAGATTGAGATAAGTAAATTTGAGGGCAGAATGTGTCATTGAATGGCCATTTTGTCGACCCTCTTCTTCTGACTTTTTGTATGCATTGATTGATAATACCACGATTTGATCCAACCACCAATAATGTTTATTACAACATTTGATTACGACGTTGTTTTTAATTCTCTTAAGGATTCTTGTTAATATTTTTTTGTCCAAAAGTTTCCAGGCAGGCAGGCCTATCTATTACTCTGATTTCTCTTCCTTTTTCCTATCCATGCATTTGCTGCCCTTGTGAATCTTGATTCTTCTTAATTCAGATTGGGACAAGAATTCCGGGCAGCAATATGGGACAATGTTGTTCATTTCATGTTGAAAGTTATCATGTCGAGAATCGTGAAGAGGAAAGAGAGGTTGAACATGAAGATCTGATATTTAGAGGCCATGCTGGGGCACATGTTAGGCTGCAAGGATCATCTAAATTTGTATCAATGTATACTCAGCAAGGGAAAAAGGGGGCCAACCAAGACGCCATGACTGTTTGGGAGGTATATTCATTATTTTCTCTAATTTCTTAATTGTTATGAAGGTTTTCGATTTTTGTATATGTAAACATTTGGCTGTGATTTTGAGGGATAATTCTTCTTGATTTCATCTCCCTGTCCTGAAAATCTCAGCATTGATCTGCGCACTTGTTCTTTAAATGATTCTATTCGTTTTCTTTCTATCTTTTGACACCAAAATATAGGTACATTGAGATATTGTGGATTTAGAATTTTCTTCTGATGAGACTAAACTTTTTATTGGATCAACTTTCATTTGTTTATGATAATTGGCCAAACCCTGCCTACTTAGGGAGTGGGGGTGTTGATATGTGACTAATATGCTTCAATTGCTGCTTCAGAACTTTTCAGGTGCGAAAGACACATTCTTTTGTGCTGTGTTCGATGGACATGGCCCATCTGGCCACAAGGTGGCACGCTACATTCGCGATGTTTTGCCAGCAAAAATTTCAATGTTATATAATAAGTCAAATGTTAGGGGCAAAAATGGTAGTTTTGCAGAGAAAAATGCAAATGCTGAAGGGAAAATTGGCAATGGTCATCCATTTTTGTCATCATGGAAAGATAAAATAATAAAGTCTTTCCAGGAAATGGATGAAGAACTTGAGGGTGAAGCATCTATTGAAAGCTACTGCAGTGGTACAACCTCAGTGGCTATACTTAGAAAGGTACAATTACTAGTTAAATAAATTGGCATCGAAATAATTTCATAATATTCTTTGCTGGTATTCAAGTATTTCTGGGAGCTGAAACACTCGAGTAATTCTCTTTTTTCGTGATTTCATGGCTAATGTCTCAGGGTGAACACCTTATAATTTCGAACTTAGGGGATTCTCGTGCTGTTCTATGCACTCGAGACGACAAAGATCAACTTATTTCTGAACAACTCACAGTTGATATGAAGCCAAATCTTCCAAGTTGGTGTCCTTTTTAGCTTCTCTATTCATGGGAACAATCAAGAATTTTCATTTTACTATAGATTTCTTTAGTCTAATTCTCTAACATGTAAAACCAGGAGAAATGGAACGAATTAAAAGTTGCCAAGGCAGAGTTTTGGCAATGGATAAAGAACCAAACGTGTACAGAATATGGATGCCAGATGAAGATTGCCCCGGTCTTGCCATGGCAAGAGCTTTTGGAGATTTTTGCTTAAAAGATTTCGGCCTTATCTCAACCCCTGAAGTCACTTACAGAAAGCTGACACAAAGAGATGAATTTGTCGTCTTAGCAACCGATGGGGTAAGAACTCGTAGCACACACTAATCAGCAAAGATCTGTTATCTTGTCCATTCAGCCTAATGGAACATATGTTTTTTATTTTCAGATATGGGATGTGTTATCGAACAATGAAGTAGTACGTATTGTGGCTTCAGCGAAGAAACGATCTTTGGCAGCTAAACTGTTGGTGGATCAAGCTGTTCGAGCCTGGAGATACAAGTATCCGTCTGCCAAGATTGATGATTGTGCCGTCATATGCTTGTTCTTCAAACGCCCGAGACCTTTGTTAACTAAGTCCATATCAGAAGTGACTGAACCGAGCTTGAATCATACAGAACTCGGAGAGCATAGTTATATTGGAAATGCGAGAACTGATGATGGGCTCGATACAGTTTTGAACTGTAACGTGGAAGAAAGCCCGGAAACTGCTCCTAATGGTGGTGATCGATTGGATTCTGCAACACATCGGCCTCGAAAAAGAAGATCAGAAAAGAAAATTGATCAGGTTGGAGACTGATGAGGCTCAATTGAATTGTTCAAAGCTTGTAAGCATTTGAAAAAACACCAGATGAAAATAGTATTAGTCTCTGTGGTGACTGGTGAGAATAAGCAACTGTTCTTGAAAAAAAAAATGTTTTATACAATGTTAACACCTTGGTGATGAATGTAAAAAGAGAAGAAAATCCTTCAAAATAGAAAGAAAGAGAGAGATATATGCTGGATGACATGGAATATGCACAATCTATGGAATGCAGCAATTTTATGTCTCTGAAAAATTAAAATTTTCCCCGTCTCTTTGAATGTGTGGAATTCTTGATATGCTGAATTGGACACTAATAGACATGTTTAAGGAAGAAAAAGATGTCATTATCTAGTACTACGATCAACCATGTTAGTTGTTTTGCCTAGGATGAATGAAGCAATTGAATAACTCGTGGTTGGTGCCTCCAAGCAAGTTATTTAGCATCGCATCAACATGTTCATCACTTGGTGTGTTGTGATTTTTCGTAGAATGACACTTGTGCTGTCAAGGATTGATGCCGGACTATACCCTGTCTATTACCAAGGTCTTGTGTTCGCAACTCAAAAATTAGGGGACCTTCGGTGAAAATTCCTGTGAGCCTTTTAAAATATATTAATTTTCTTTTTTGTAAAGGAAAAAAAATAAGATTTTGAGAACGTGATTAGAAAGTGAGGCTAGAAGGAAAAAAAAAAGTGAAAATTATAGTCCCACCTCTTTTCAACTTATCAATTCGAAAATAAGGTGTAAGAGTTTTTATTTAAAAACTCAGGTGCCAAATTTATTATTTTACCCTTCTTCAAGTCACGATCACATCCACAACCACTACAATTGTCGAATGTCACCACCATTTGTCGTCGCCCTCACTAAGTAAGCAACGCCTGGCGCGACTGTTGTAGCAACATTGTGCTCGACAGTGTGCTTGAGATGGCGCATTACCTGTGGCCAAACGCGGGGTTTGAGTGAGGATTTGGAGGCGGGGCCTCTAATACAATCCGTCTGCTCGAAATTTCAAATCGGGGGTCAGTTCGAAAATGATGGTCATTGGTGGTGATAGCAGTGGTGGTTGAGTAGGACGAAAAGTGTTTGTGACCAATTATTTGGTAATTGTGACAAATAAAATGAATAATTTGTGATCGATAAAATTGGTAATTTGTGACCAATAAACAAAAGGGAAAATTAGGTACAGCACCCAAAAAAATTAAGTATTCGATTAATACCTTGAAACTAACTAAAACTACAATTACTGTATTAATTACGTTCAAAACCTTAACACCACAACAAAAATCCAAAGTAGAAGGCGAAATCCCTAAATCAGAAAACCCTCGAGAAACCTCTATCCTCGACTTCAACTCCGACTCTCCAATGTTCTTGTAGAGAGAAAATCTCACCCACCAATTTAATGCTGCTACATTTTTGTAGTTTTAACGAGAGTTTCCTATTTGGACGATTGGGTGATTTGGGGAGGTGAATCTTGAGCGAAAATCTTTTTTTGCACTGTCCACGATTTTTGGTAATTCTTTGTTGATATTAGATCGATTTTATCCAAGTAGGTAAATTAATATCATGAATCAAAGTCATCCAAGAGAAAATCTAGGAGTACAGAAGGAAATTTAAACTTGAAGAATTAAACTCGTATGAGTTTGAAGGTAACATTTAATAAACTTTGTTTTTGAGGTTGAACTTTGAATATGAGTAGGTTTTTCGTTCTTTTATATTTGAAGCAAGTTTGGGCATAGAATGTGATGAGTTTGTGTATAAATGCATAAAAAAATTGTCGTTAAACTTGGGATTAGCTCCAAAACTATTGCAAACTATTTCCCTTTGATTTTCTAAGATACCATCAAGATATTTGATAAAATGTCTCAATTGGAAATGTTGAGAAATGTTGTTTTTGTTGTAGTGAGAGAATTTGTAGCGGAAATTCTTGCTAACTCTATGTCTGTTTGCATCAGATATGGAACTTCCTATCTCGGCCAACCACGCTTTAGCTGGAGCCGTAATAGGGGAACTTCCTTCTTGGGCTGTGACAATTCCTAGCAAGGCAAAAACCAACCCAAACCCTCAAAAGATCAACTTGGTTTTTAAGTTCAATTGGGTTGGAAAATCAAATTTGAGGTTGGGTTAGGTTATGAATCAAAATATTCGTGATATGTTGATGAGATAGAGATGAATGTACATGACGAACAAAAAAAACAATGATGGTGCTTAAATTCTGACATTTAGCACTTTTAGTTATGTACAGACAAGTTGTACATAACTTGTTTGCATTCAGTGGGTTGATATACTCGTTTTTATTGCTGTAATGGTTTTTATTTTAACTTATGTGGCCATGGTGCATGTAATTAATGACATTTTGAAATGTGAACAGGGATGAAAATTGTGAATATTTGGCTATTTCAAGACGAACAATGTCACATTTTGGAGTCACTTTTTTGAGGTGTCATCACTTTTTAAATTTTTGTTACTTTATTGCACTGATTCCAAGGTTTTGATCGGTGTTTCGTCACTTTTTTTAGTGTTGTTACTTTTTTGAGTTTTTATCCTTTTTTTTTTTTAATTTCTGTCACTTTATTGAATTGATTCCAAAGTTTTGATTGGTGTTTTGTTATTTTTTTTTTAGTCGTCACTTTATTAAATTGATTCTAAAGTTTTGATTAGTGTTTTGCTACTTTTTGAATGTTTATCACTTTTTGAAATTTTTGTGCATTTTTATAATGTTTGTCAGTTTTTTCTATTACTTTCTTAAAATTTTTATCACTTTTTTTAGTAGCAAACATCACTTTTTAACAAAAGCGAGATTATAAGTCATTTTTTAATAAAAAAAGTAATACTTAACTTAAAAAGCGACATTGTGTCACTTTTTAATATTTTTTATTAAAAAGTGACACGGTATTTTTTACTTTCTAAATACTTTTCATATGATTTTTCAAAAAATCCCTAATTTTTAGGGTATTTTTGTAAGTTGCCATAAACAAAATGTGTGATTGTGATTAAATTTATAATTGTGACTCACAATTTGTGTCTTTGTGACTCCGACCATAATTATGTAGTAATCACCTGATTTTCGAAACTTTTTCAAAAGTTTCTTATTTTTGAAAGTGTATCTTGAAATCATTATAATTATGTATTCCTCGCAAAAAAAAAAGAAAAAAGAAAAAACAATTGAACAGTGCATTATGAATGCATAATTAAAACGGCAGCCCAGTTATTCCATAGTTCATGCCTTGTTTAAGAGCCCAAATAGAAATTCTGTATGAAGCCGTAATTGTCGCGGAAGCTCACTAAAGGAGTTTTCCCAAAAATACATACTAGTTGAGGAAAACCCCATAGGGATAAGGGACGTAGGGCTAAAGAGAGAGCCAAAAAAGGATCTTTCATGTATAATCTTCAAAACAATGATTTCCGGGCTTAGTTTAATGTTACATTTCTTTACCAAACAATCAATCGAAACGGCTCCAACCCACAACCAATATATTCACTTCAATTGCTACTCAATCTTGCCTACAACACAACCAATATATTCACTTCGATTGCTCCTCAATCTTGCATACAAAGGACAAGATAATGGTAATGATTTGTAACCACAAAGTCAAGAAGAAAAACAACAAAATAAGGCAAGAGGCGACCAAAAATTCAAAGGGAAATCACCATTTTTTCTTCTCCAGCAGGCAATCGATTTTTTCATACACAAACCACATACTAAACGACTAGGGTTAAATGTGCCAAGATTTAAAGCCGTATAATAGGTAATATATATGTGTCATGAGCAATATTAATTCTTTAAGTTACTTTCAACGGCCGACGTTTTCAAGTTGAACATTTGAACTTGATTGTTGGTAACAATTTAATTCATCGACCAATGTCTATGAAATTCAATACAACGTTTACATCATAACCCAGAATTTAGTAGGTATCAAAACCCAACAGTAATCTTTATTGAGAAATTCTTGAAAATTTTGAAGAAAAAAAAAACGAAGAAAGAAAAGAAAGGAGAGAGAAAGAATCACTGATTGGAACAAACAACCAAACAAATGGTACCAATTTTTCTGAACGTTTAAGAAAAGTTACAGAAAGAGAAAGAGGAATCTTTGGACAGAGTACCACATAAGTAGGACCTTTGGTAAGCCGTGTGCCCACATTCATTTTACTATAGAAGATAGGTAAGAGACCTAATCCATCATTGATCCAATTTGAACATCAAGTCACCGTGTCATTGATTGAATTGGCAGGAAGATTTATGGTTGACTATAACAATTAATTAGGAAAAGAAAATGCCACCCTCAACGAATCCCGTCTAGTTTCTGATCGATTTTTTGCTTCCAATGGCACATGCTCACTCAACCCACATTACATTCTTCACAATAGATAATGATTTTGGTGTCCCAAATTATTCTTCAATTTGCAAACAATTATCTATACTTACGGTCTTGAAAGTAAAAATATGAGGGCCATCATCGACATCTAACAATAATTAATGCTAATGGTTTCTTGTAAAAAGCAGCAGGCAGCAGGCTGGGACCAGACCAAGGATGGATAGAAGAAAAGTATCATCAAAACCCTGTCACTGTCAACATAAATACAGACCCCACTGTTTTCTTTTGAAAAGTTTCAATTTCATCCTAAACAAAGCCCAGATTCCGTTCAGTCAATTTCCCTCTGCATTACGCTTTCCTCTTTCACGTTTCTCCAAAAAATCTTGCGTCAATTTCAGTACACAAGATTGAAAACCAAGCAGCTGAAGGGAAAAGTTGTACGGATTTTAACAGGGGGTATGTCATTTTTTTTTTTATCGAGAGTTGAAAAAAAAGAAACGTGCTGCACCGTTAGGCCTTTTACAAGGCCTGGCGGTGCAAATGTGAGATGGGGGTGAGTGTTTAAACATTTGAAGGGATTATTTTAATGAGGTGAGGCCCACATCATGTGAGAGCTTTTACTGCCTTTTACAGGTAGAGCAAGTTAATTCAAAAAATAATGCAACCATACATGTATTGCCACGCTGTTTCAATAAACCCCTCTTACAGTTTCCCATGTAGAAGGGAAATAACTCTGATCCTATTTCACCCTCCGATCAGACACATTTGCCTCAAAGTCATCTTCTTCTGACCCACCCATAGGCCACATGTAGTGCTTTTCTCACCAAATCTCTAATCATTCGTACACATGCCAACCAATCTAAACTTTTTATCATTTGAACACACGTAGAGGTGTCAAAATATGACTAATCGATCGAGAAAACCCACCTTCACAGTCGAGTCATTTCAGTCAAGCCAAGCCAGGTTCGACTGTGAAGATAAAGACTTCTATAGGCATGCTTAAATACTTCAGATAGATTTTTGTTCAAAGGATCGTCCTTCCTTTGTGACGTGTGTTTAAACAGGAACTTTCGCCATGTTTATTTCGGATTAAAATTAAATTTTAATCTAAGTCAAAATGAAATAATTAATATTAATCATATCTTTCCATATCTTTCGTGAGTCCCACAACTTTTCAATCACATATTTCAAAAACTTCTGTCATAACCTACTAAAAATCTAATTTTAATTTCCACCAAACACTCACTTTATATTTTCTGCACCGAGCATAATAGAACCAACATATACACATGACAGCAGTATGGTACAGTACTATTAGGAGTAGATTATGTAGAGTATTCAAACATTGATTAAACTCCCACCAAAAGAGAAGAGTAAGTAAAAAGGGGGGGGGGGGGGGGGGGG